TGACCACTCTTCGGGTACTGCTGCACGTTGCCGCTCAGCGTGACTACGAGCTTCACTCTCTTGATTTCAGCACAACCTTCTTACAAGGCAGTCTGCACGAGGAGATCTGGCTACGCCGCCCACCTGGCTTCACAGGGTCGTTCCCTCCTGGTACCCAGTGGAGCCTCCGCCGGCCGGTCTACGGTCTCCGTCAGGCGCCTCGTGAGTGGCACGATACACTGAGGATGACACTTGCGGCTCTTGGGTTTGCACCTTCCACTGCTGACCCGTCGCTGTTTCTGTTTCCACTTCGTGTACGTCGACGACTTGGTCTTTGCCACTGCTGACACTGAGGCTCTCGCCCTTGTTAAGTCGGAGCTACAGAAGAGACACACGTGCACAGACCTGGGTGAGCTGTGCAGCTACCTTGGCCTGCAGATCACCCAGGACAGAGCACGGTGCACCATCACACTGACTCAGTCACACATGGTGCAGCAGGTCCTTCAGCGCTTCGGCTTCACTTGGTCCTCGCCACAGTCCACTCTTCTGGCTACCGGTCACTCGCTCTCAGCTCCACCTTCGGACGAGTCCGTAGAGCAGAGTGGCCCGTATCCAGAGCTAGTGGGCTGCCTCGTGTACCTGATGACCTGGACTCGACTTGACCTTGCGTACCCTCTTGGCCTTCTGGCTCGCTACGTGGCTTCTGGTAGGCACCGAAAGGTGCACATGGATGCTGCGAAGAGGGTACTGCGCTACTTGTGCAGTACGTCGGGCATGGGGCTCGTGCTTGGAGGGCGGAGCCCAGTTGTCCTCACTAGGCACTCAGACGCTTCGTGGGTAGACGACCTAGCTACGCAGCGGTCGTCACAGGGTTATACCTTCAGCCTTGGCTCTGGTTCTGTTTCGTGGCGGTCTACGCGCTCGTATTCTGTTCTCAGCTCCAGTTGTGAGGCTGAGATCTACGCCACAGCCATGGCTGCACAGGAGCTACGCTGACTCACCTACCTGCTGACCGACTTGGGAGAGAGGCCTCGTTCTCCTCCAGTTCTGTACGTCGACAACAAGGCTGCCATTGCCTAGTGTCAGGACCACAGACTGGAGTACAGAACGAAGCACATCGCTCTGCGTTACTTCCTTGCTCGAGAGTTGCAGCAGCGTGGTCAGCTTCGTGTCGCTCACGTGCCCACCCGGGCCAACACGGCTGATGTGTTCACCAAGGCCCTTTCGGCTGGTGATCATCAGCGCTTCTGCACTGCACTAGGCCTGGTGCCTACGTTTCCTCACTTGCTACCTGCTGACTGACTTGGGAGAGAGGCCTCGTTCTCCTCCAGTTTTGTACGTCGACAACAAGGCTGCCATTGCCTAGTGTCAGGACCACAGACTGGAGCACAGAACGAAGCACATTGCTCTGCGTTACTTCCTTGCTCGAGAGTTGCAGCAGCGTGGTCAGCTTTGTGTCGCTCACGTGCCCACTCGGGCCAACACGGCTGATGTGTTCACCAAGGCCCTTTCGGCTGGTGATCATTAGCGCTTCTGCACTGCACTAGGCCTGGTGCCTACGTTTCCTCACTTGCTGTAGACTCTGGTTGTACTGTGATCTATATACATATATATATACATATATATATATATACATATATACCTGCATGCGTACTCTTGTGAACTGACCTTGTAGCTCCTTTGCTTGTGCTCAGATTGTGTGGTGACGTTGTTATCCACCCTGAGCTTGCATTGCTTTTCTTGACTGGTCTTGTGACCCCTTGTTCTCCCCCACTTTGCCCATGGGGGTGTGTCAAACTATATATGATTTATAATTAGGTTTAGGCTTTAGTGGGGTAGCCAATGTAGGGTACAACCCCTTAGGGTTCTCATCCTTGTACCCAATGTTAGAATGTTATAATTGTCTAGCCTGCAGTGGGGTACTCTATAGCGAGTACAACCCAATTAGGGTTTCCTATATGTATGCGAACTGCTGCTATTGCAATCCCTCCTTTCTTCATTCTTGTTTTTGTCTGCTAAATTTGTCATGCTATCAGAGCAGGTCGACCCCCTTGGGTCGATCCTGTGGGTGGGCCCACCACCTAACTGCTTCCGCTGCTGTTTTGCTTCTCGCGCGCCTCGGGCGCGCGCCGTCTTCTTCCTGCCGCGCGCGGAAAAAAAAAAATTCTGGCGTTTTTCATTCCGCCGAGCGCTCGGGGTGCGCGGCGGTGATCTGCCCGCCGCGCGCCCCGAGGTGCGCGGCGGTTTTCTACACGGTGGATCCGAGCGCGCCCCCCCTGCCATCCCGTCGCCGTTCGTGGCGCCCTCTCCCGTCGCCCGTCGCGGCGTCGCGGGGGCCGCACGTCCCCCCCATCCCGTCGCCCGTCGAGGCGCCTAGGGGGCCGCGCATCCCCCTCCTTCTGTCGCCCGTCGTGGCGCCACGGGGGCCGCGCGTCCCCCCCCCCCCCCCCCCCCGTTCGCGTCGTCACGTCGCGACGCTCTGGGGAATCGCACGCGGCCCCCGATTCCCCGTCGCGCTGCCCTGAGGAGCCGCGCGCGACCCCCCGCTGCCCCGTCGCACCGCCCTGGGGAGCCGCGCGTGGCCCCCTGCTGCCCCGTGGTGGCGCCCTGGGGGCCGTGCGTCGTCCCCCGCGCTCCTACCCCTTGCAACCCGTTTTAGGGTTTGGGGGTGAGGAGTGTGGGGGTGGCGGTTGTGGGGGTGCCCATTGTGTGCGTCGTCCCTTACTCCTCCTCCTCCGTCTCCCGCTGCTGCAGCTGCCGCTCAGGGGTGTGTGTGTGTGGGGAGCCGAAGGAGTGGTGCTAAGGGGGTGAAGGGGGAGTGGAGCTAGGGGTGAAGCAGGGGGTGTGTGTCAAGGGGGGTGGGACTGTTTGGGGAGGCTGAGAGGAGGCTGCCGTCTTGTCGTCCGCAACACCTGTAGTCCGGGGCGCTGTCCTGGTAGCCCAGAGAGCTTGCTGCGCATGTCGCCTGTGGGTCCGTTGCTCCTGTAGCTCCTCGTAGCCCGTGAGCCAGTTACTCCAGTAGTCCAGGGCGCTGTCCCGGTAGCCACTGTGCCAGCCGCTCCTGTTGCCCGTGTGTCTGCAGCTTCAGCCGTCGTCTCCCATCTTCTCTCCTCTCACAATCCCTCCTCCTCCTCACTTTCCCGCTGTGACTACCACTAGCTTTGCTCATAATTGTGAACTACTGCTATGCTTGCTCATTGTGCTGATTACGCCCCACTTTGGCTATGGGGGTGTGTCAGAATGTTATAATTGTCTAGCCTGCAGTGGGGTAGTCTATATCGAGTACAACCCAATTAGGGTTTCCTATATGTATGCCAACTGCTGCTAGTGCAAACCCTCCTTTCTTCATTCTTGTTTCTATCTGCTAAATTTGTCACCCAATTCCCTCGATAGTCAAACATTCCTACCTAGAACTCTAACAATACATGCCGACTTTTCCAAAACCGCATGGGCCAAATTCGCGTCTGCGATAACTTTTGCTGACCAGGTACATGGCCGACAAGAGGAGGCCGATGCCGATGATAAACAATCGGTCGAGACCAGCAGATTGGTGCCATGTCGACGATAACTTTCGTCGACCGTCGAGACTTGACCCTGTCTACCGCCTTTACCTCGCCGACCAACATATCGTCGATTTTGCTGTGATTTATTTTGCCATGGTCGTCTTCGCTGTGGTTCCTCCCAAGTCAACGACCAAACCCACCGACTTTCTCCTTCAAGTTGGCGCTGACCATGAAGCTTAGCAGACTGCACACTTTGCGCACCCTAGTGAAATTGGCTTTGCCTACGTGAGGGCGGGGCCGTTTCTCGTCAACATTAACCACTCCTTGCTTTCTCAAGGCATGCCAAAAAAATGATACAAGCTTTTGGGGCAGTGCCTTCGGAGGCTAACGCATGGAGATTGGTAGAGCCTCCACAATGCGCCATTACAATCGTAGTGCTGTTGTGTTATGGCACCTCTTAGAAACACAATGCAGGCTCAAGGCACCTGGCTTTAGAGCATTATGAAGTTTTAGGCGTACAATATATATGAAATCAATGGTCAGCTTGTTAAAATTTGTACTAGCACTCTAAGTTCATGGTTATTGCCGTGGCAAGGGAGGCCCTTTTTACTCTTATGGGCTTATACAGAGCCAATTGCACATATATGTGATATTCGATACAAGTGCATACCAAAACATGACCCAAATGACCAAGATTTACACTTGAGAATAATCAATTGTCCTATGCACATAAAGAACAAATATTGTATATGTTATCCTCAAGATTTATTGAGATTTTAGGGTAATAAATCTCATAATTCTAATACATGGATTATTCGCTGTAGGTAAGTAATCCGCTCATTCACTCCTGCTTGCACAATTGTTTGTTTCACCTAAATAATTGCTGCCAAGGGTTTCACATTATAGAAGCCCTCTGAAGCAGTCGATACCGCGGAATTTCAGTCAGCTTTTTACTGGCTTGCGAAGGGAGTTTCCAAGCCAGCGGTTGCGCACATTCTGTTCCAGTTTTCCTGACCAAACCCAGATCAGGCATCATTGTGTCATTAACTACTCGCTGCATATCGCCTTTCTCCTTCTCGCCTTATCATCCTACTCGCTCGCGGTATAAGCAGCAGAAGGATTCATGCGTGTCCAGTTGACGTCAGCGTGCTCGGTCGTGCTTCCACGTGGCCGAATACCTGCTGACATCAGCGTGCAGTTCTCCTCAGTCGCATCTCCAGGGTGGTCTGTGATCTTGCACCGCTGAGCGCAGCTATTAAAAAGATCCGTACCTCTATCGCAGAATCAGAAGCTTTAAGGGCCCGATGGGGTCCTTGGTCCATGCGCGTCGCCTTGAACCTTGATTCGCGAGAGGAAAGCATCATATTCCACGTGAAGCGGCTGCCCCCCGTCCGTCCCAGTTTCTGCTTCGTCTCCTAATGTCACTGACGTGACCTCTCTGGACACCTCTGGACCGGCCTCCGCCCTTTCTTCCATGAATTGGATTCTGTTAATACATCTAGCGTCATAACTAGCGTCATGACGACTTCGTCTCACCCCATCCCGTCCTCCGCTCGCCGGTCGATCCACATCCGAGCCTCGGCTTCTGGTTCGGGTGACCAGTTGGCCAGGTCTGGTTCGGGAGGATTCGTTGTAGGAACACGGGCGTATTATCACTCGTCATCGTTTAATGATGGTGGGAATAACGCCCGGTTGCAGCGGGTGGCGCGTGTGGTGGGCGTGGTTGTCGTTTTCCTCGCGCTGATCGCCACAGCGCAACAGATTCTCCTCTACCTCTCGCCGCCCGATGCTGACGTGGCACAACCCGACAACCATCTGAACGATCGGCCTGGTAAATATATCGTATCTCAAACATAGTAATCTGGTCGTTCTTATCTTGTCGTTATACCCAGACCGCTGGTATACATGCGGGCCTTTTCGTGCCACAAGGTGACTAAATTCTCTGGCCTAACGGATGTCATCTATGTATCCCTCTCAACTCAATTTTCCGCTGGCACGCCTTTCCTTACGCTACTTTTCTTAATTTTTGTGTGTGCGTGTGTGCGTGTGTGTGCGTGTGGGTATGTGTGTATGTGTATGTGTATGTGTGTGTGTGTGAATGTGTGTGTGTGTGTGTGTGTGTGTGTGTGTGTGTGTGTGTGTGTGTGTGTGTGAATGTGTGTGTGTGTGCGTGTGTGCGTGTGTGTGTGCATGTGTGTGTGTGTGCGCGTGTGTGCGTGTGCGTGTGTGCGTGTGTGTGTGTGTGTGTGTGCGTGTGTGCGTGTGTGTGTGTGTGTGTGTGACACCTACAGAGAAGCTTGTTGCACTTGGCCAAGGTGAAGCAGCAGATGGATCATCAGTTGATGATGCTGCCGCAGCTATTGGGACACCATGGGTTGCTGGCGCTTCTGCTGCCACTGCTTCTGCTGATGCGAGTGGTGCAGCTGCCACTTCATCTAGCCCACGTGGCACCGTGTGGCACAGAGGAGCGCCGTGGCAAGGCCACGTGGGATCATGGTTGGAAAGTTTGTCGCCTAGTGCTTTGCCTGTCACTGTTCACGAGGTGAGTGTGGTAACCATGGGATGGGAGGTGTGTATGGTAGTTGAAGCGGGGTGCTGTTGATTGCAACCGCAAAGGCGTGTGGTAGTAATCACTCATGAGGTGTGTTATGTTCCTGCCCTTGGTCTCTCTCTTCTCTCTCCCCGTGCACGACTGACTTTTGAGTCGACTCAAAAGTCACCTCGTTACCACGGCACACGACACATTTTGAGTCGACTCAAAAGTCAACCGCAAAGGCGTGTGGTAACCAATCATGAGGTGTGTTATGTTCCTGCCCTCGGTCTCCCTCTCTTCTCTCCCCCTGCAAGACTGCAACTCGCAGATTCGGTGGAATTCCCTCACCATCGTCCCCACGCTCCCACCCTCCTCCCATTCCAATGCTACTCCCACCCCACTTCCTTGCCTTGTGCCCTGTGCCCTGTGCCCTGTGCCCTGTGCCCTGTGCCCTGTGCCCTGTGCCCTGTGCCCTGTGCCCTGTGCCCTGTGCCCTGTGCCCTGTGCCCTGTGCCCTGTGCCCTGTGCCCTGTGCCCTGTGCCCTGTGCCCTGTACCCTGTGCCCTGTGCCCTGTGCCCTGTGCCCTGTGCCCTGTGCCCTGTGCCCTGTGCCCTGTGCCCTGTGCCCTGTGCCCTGTGCCCTGTGCCCTGTGCCCTGTGCTTTGTGCTTTGTGCCCTGTGCCCTGTGCCCTGTGCTTTGTGCTTTGTGCTTTATGCCTCGTGCGTGCAGCCTGCCTTTGGTCGCACGTGCCCTGGGGACTGCAGCGGCAATGGCGTGTGCAATGCGGAGTTTGGGGAGTGCAGGTGCCGCCACGGCTACACTGGTGAGTGTGTGCAGAGCTTAAGTAGGGAGGGGAGGAAGGTGTTATGAGCACCACCTCACCTCCTGTCCAGCCATTGCAGCAACAGCATCATCAATGTGTGCAATGAGCAGGAGGAACCGGCAGGGGTGTGTAGGGGTTGCCATGGGCATTGCTACATGCAAGGGCCCCCGGAGGGTGGGTGGGGGGGCTGCTGGTAGTGTGGCCATGGGCTTTGGTTGGTTGGATGGGGGTTTATTGAGGTACGACAGCTGTGGAGGAAATATGAGGGCTTGGATAGTATAGTAGGTATTGAAGTCTCAGGGCCCGAGTGCTCTCAAGAGGAGGACTACCCCTGCAACAACCAAACTCATTCCCAAGGCAAAAGTATCGCCTCTGGGGATAAGACATGAGTCAGTCACCACCACCTCCTCCTTCTCACCCCCTCTTGTCCCCAGGCCTGGACTGCTCTCAAACGGAGGACTACCCGTGCAACCTGCCAGCAACCCCAGAGAGCCCCCTGGGGCCTTGGATAGTGTCCATCTGTGCAGCCCACTGTGACCTGCGCCGCGCTCAGTGCCGATGCGGGCCCAACACCAGCTACCCTGACCGCCCTGTTGTCGCGCCTTGCGGTTTCCCCAAGGCCCCTGAGTGAGCTTCGAGCTGTGCTGGTCGTTTGCTTGCTTGTTTGCTGCTCATGTTCGTTCCATTCGCCGATGCGGACCCCACGCCACTCGCTACCCATTCCCATTCTCTCTTTTGTCCCCCGTTTGCCCTTCATCCCCCCTTCATTCCCCCCTCCTCCCCTCCCGCTCTTCTCCCCTCCCACTTCCCCATCTCTCACGCCCCCCCCCCCCGCGTTCCTCCCACCTGCACACACCAGCGGCATCATTCTCTACCACAAACCGGACGTGACCCCTGTTTACGGGCCCCAGACCACTGCCATCACCACCACCGGCAGCAACGGCAGCAGCGACGGCAACAGCAGTGACAGCACCAGCAGCGGCGGCAGCACCAGCGACAGCAGCGACGGCAGCAGCAGCAACAGCGGCAACAACAGCACCAGCAGTAGCGGCAGCATTGCTGCCAGTGATAGGCGTGTGGCATGGTGTGAAGCGCACCCCAGCCAGATAGCAGCGGCGGAGTGTTTCTGCAACTATGATGGGCAGATAGGGCGGCTGTGCGAGACGACTGTAGAGAGCTTCTGCATCAACCAGTGCTCGCGTGCTGGCACCTGCTCCATGGGGTACTGCGAGGTGAGAATGGGTGGTGGGGGGTGGTGTCAGGTGAGATTTGGTGCTGAGGAGTGGTGTGAGGTGAGAATGGGTGCTGAAGGGTGGCGCGAGGTGAGATTTGGTGCTGAGGGGTGGGGTGTGGTGCGGTGAGAATGGGTGCTGCGGGGTGGTGTGGGTAGTACTATCCCCTCTCCCGCTCTACCTCTCCCATTCCCCCCTCGCCCACTCTACCTCTCCCATTCCCCACTGAACCGCTCCCACTCTCCTATCGCCCACTCTCCTCTTTCAATCTCTCCCCTCTTTCCTCTCCCCCACCCCCAACCCCTCCACCCCCACCGTGCTGGCAGTGCGAGGGCGACCGCTACGGAATTGACTGCAGCATCCCCTCTGTGCGTTCGCCTCCCGACCTCTACCCCCCCGAGTGGCTGCGCATACCCCTGCCCCACCAACCAGACCCCGATTCTTCCTCCGATTACCCTGATCAGAACCCTGGTTCTGCCCCTGATTCCCTTGGCTCTTCTAGTGTGTATGAGGCAAGCGGTGTCAACAGCAGCATCAGCAGCAGCAACAGCAGCAACAGCAACAGCAGTATTGAAGGTGCAGCAGCTCCTGCAGCAGCAGCAGCAGGAGTAGTAGTAGTAAGAGGAGAAGAAGAGGAGAGCACACGTGTGGCAGAGATAGGAACCATGGTGAACCGGACCCGACCCCTCATCTATGTATATGACCTGCCGCCAGAGTTCACCTTTCACAATCTAGAGGTGAGTGCAGTGTGGTGCGAGTACTATTGTGTGTGCGAGTGGTGGAGAGGGATTGAATGAGGTCCTTGCCATGCTGCCGTACCTTGTTCCTGGGCCCATCATTTGTACCACTGTGTTTGTGATCAACCCCACACCACGTGCTCTTTTCTGCCCTGCGCTCTGTCTCTGTTTTATGACATGGTGGCATGGGATGGCATGGTTATCATGGCTTGTCATGGCCTGGCATGGTTTTATGGCATGGCATGGGATGGCATGGCATGGCACACATCAGGCGCGGCAGTGGAAGAGCTACTGTGGTCCGCGGGCATACAGCCATGAGAATGACACATTGTTTAATGACGGATGGCTCTATGGACTAGAGGTGTGCTGCCCTTCCCCCCAAAACCTCGAACCCGGAACCCTTCCCGTCCCTCCATCTCTCTGCTACTATGAAGACTCCTTATCTCATGCAATACTACACAATCACACGTTCTTGAGGGCCGTGGTCGTTCAGCCATGAGAACAGCACTGTTCAATGATGGATGGCTCTATGGACTGGAAATCTGTGTGGCACCCCCACTTCCCCCCATCTCCCCCTCCCCCCCTTTTCTCCACCCGCCCTCCTCAGCAAACCTTCCCTCTCCTTCGCTTCCTGCTTCTCTCTCCCTTCCCGCCCCACACCCCATTTCCCCAGACAGCGGTGTTTGAGGGATTTTGCGGCAGCCCCCACCGCACCTTGGACGGCGACAGTGCAGACTTCTTCTACGTGCCCCTCCTGGGCCTCTGTGTGTGTGTGCCTCGTCTCTCTTCCACCCGTCTCTTCCCCACCCGTCTCTGGCCAACCTTGCCTCCCCACTACTCCCCTTCCCTCTTTCCCCTTGCTCCTTCGCTTCCCCACTCCCTCCCCCCTTTCCCCCAGACAGCGGTGTTTGAGGGGTTTCTAGGCAGCCCCCACCGTACACTGGACGGGGACAGTGCGGATTTCTTCTACGTGCCGCTCCTGGGCGCCTGCATCATCGCCCGCTCTGATGACTCGCCACGATTCCGCATGGAGGCATGGTGGCTTACTAGGGGGGGTTGAGGGGAAGCGGGAAAGAGGGAGGGGGTAGGTATGGGATTGGGAGATGCATGCGTGCGTGCGTGCGTGCGAGATGCACAGTTCTTCTACGTGCCGCTCCTGGGCGCCTGCATCATTGCTCGCTCTGATGACTCTCCACAATTCCGCATGGAGGCATGGTGGCTCACGGGGGAGGGGGAGGAGAGGGGGGATGGGGAGGGGGGGAGGGGGGGAGAGGAAGGGGATAAAGGGGAAGGGGAAAGTGGAGGGGAAGGGGTGAAGGGGAGGAGGGAAGGGGAAGAGGGAAGGGGTGGGGAGGGATGAATGATGGTGTTCCACCTGTGATCACCATGCGTGTGTGTGTCTGTCTTTAGATACAAACTTATGTGTACAAGAGAAGAGGGAGGGTAAACGAGAGGGGAGGTTAGAGGGGGGGTGTTGGAGGTGGATATTTTCAAGGCACCTTGGATTCAAGACGATTTTTTAGGCACCAGAATTAAAAGGTTGTTGTCTGTTCCACAAGCTCTCCTTCCGTCTTTGGCCGTCCCACCTTGCACTCCCTCCTCCCTTCTCCCTTCTCCATCTGACCCTTCTCCCTCCCTCACTTGCCCCCTCCACCCTTTCTCAACCCCATCTCCCTGTCGCACACCCACCACCTGCCTTCTTTTCCTTTCTCCAACTCCAGGGTCAATTCAAGGCCCGGCGGCCCAACCTAGTAGCAGACTTTTACCTCCGTGCCCTCGCCCACATCCGCACCCACCACCCCTTCTGGGACCGGCACGGAGGCAAGGACCACATATGGATGTTCGCATGGGATGAGGGCGCGTGCTACGCCCCTCAAGCCATCTGGAGCAGCATTATGCTGGCGCATTGGGGGAATACAGGGAGCACACACAAGGGGTGTACGACCGCGTATTACCATGATGATTGGAGTGTAATGGAGGAGAGTGTGCGGGGGGACCATCCGTGCTTTGACCCGGAGAAGGATGTTGTGATGCCTGCGTGGAAGGTTCCTGGCGTGTGGGCGCGGGCGCAGAAGATCAAATCTCCGTACGTGGGTCTGTGCTCGGGCGTGTGGTGTTGCTTTGGCGTGGTGTACGCCGCGGCGCATGATGCGTTAGCGAATGGCTTTTCGCACATGCTAAAATGCATCATGCGTTACCTTCTGAAGGTTCTCCTTTCTGTCAGTCGTTGCACCAGCCCAGACTCCTGGCTGACCCATCTAAAGTGACTAAGTGGTCACTCCCTCGCTCTCACTTCACCTCATCTGTCCGTCTCCCTACACCAGTCTCACTGCCAGTGCATTTCCCCCCATGCCTCCATGCCTTGGTACCTTGTTCCATGCCTTGGTACCTTGTTCCATGCCTTGGTACCTTGTTTCCATGCATGCTTCGTCTCATGCGTTGTGCTGTGCGTGCAGCACACTGGAGACCCGACCCACACTCTTTCACTTCAGTGGGAACCTTCCACTCTCCCTCTCACCCCTGTCCCCGCCTCTCCCCCCTGTCCCCGCCTCTCCCCCCTGTCCCCGCCTCTCCCCCCTGTCCCCGCCTCCCCCCCTTTCCTACATTAATGCGTGCGTGCATTCTGGTTCTACGATGCTTGTTCACGTGTGTTGTGCTGTGTGTGCAGCACACTGGAGACCCGCCCCACGCTCTTCTATTTCAATGGGAACCTCGGCAGTGCGTTTGAGCGCGGCCGCGTTGAACCCAAGTTGAGCTCTATCCCATCCCATACCGTCCCACTGCATCTGTCTTCTCTGTAAATTTATACACGTTTGGGTACCAGATTGATCCTACTCAAATGTGTTTTCAGTGGCTTCCAGAGTGATATGGAGTGGTTAGAGACGATGGTTCAGAGTGGATTAAAGAATGATAATTCGGATCTGTAGCCACTATGAGCTCCTTCATGCTTCCCTCTTCTCTTGTCCTCCTTTCCTAACCCTTTTCCCTCTTAACCTTTCCCTCTCCCCTCCTCACTCGGATTTCTTCTCTTCCCCTTTTTCCCTTTCCTCTTCCCTCTTCTTCCTCCCCCCATCTTTTCTTCCCTCGCCCCCCTTCCCCAACCCACCCCCACTCCACCCCCGCACCTAACCCAACTCCTCCACGTCCCAACCTGCAACGCACGCAGGTACAGCATGGGCATTCGGCAGAAGGTAGCAGAGGAATTCGCGTCCTCTCCCAACAAGGAGGGCCAGCTGGGGCGGCAGCATCAGGAAGACGTGGTGGTTACCAACAGAGCCACTGGCGAGTATGGCAAGCAGGTGAGGAAGGAGGGCGGGGGGGTGGGGGGATCAGGATGGAAGTCGGAAGCAACTGAAGCTTCAGTGCTCGCATGGAGCATGTTAATTTTGCGAGGGTGCATCCCCGTCATTGTGCAGGACGGCGTGACGGGGGGATCACCCAGAAGGAGAGTGTTGTTAGCTAGAATATACTCCCAGAAGGAGAGTGTTGGGGTGGGCTCAGTCTATCCCCCTACGCTGCCCTTCACTTCCCCCACCCATCCGCAGCTCGCCGCATCGCGTTTCTGCGGGGTGTTCCCGGGCGATGGTTTCAGTGCGCGCATGGAGGATGCGATGCTGCACGGGTGCATCCCCGTCATCGTGCAGGACGGTGTGTGGATGGCGTTTGAGAGGCACCTCAACTACTCGGAGTTTGCCGTGCGGGTGGCTGAGGATGATATCCCCCACCTCGTGGACATTCTAAGGGTGAGTGAGGGAAAAGGGGAGGGGGACAGGTTGGGGAGGGGGAAGAGGGGAGTGAGTTGAGGGGAGGGGGAAGAGGGGAGTGAGTTGAGGGGAGGGGCGAGAGAGGAGAGAGTGCGAGTGGGCGGAGTGCGAAGGGTGAGAGAGGAAGGACGGTGTGTGGATGGCGTTTGAGAGGCACTTCAACTACTCGGAGTTTGCTGTGCGAGTGGCTGAGGATGATATCCCCCACCTCGTGGACATTCTAAGGGTGAGTGAGGGAAAAGGGGAGGGGGACAGGTTGGGGAGGGGGAAGAGGGGAGTGAGTTGAGGGGAGGGGGAAGAGGGGAGTGAGTTGAGGGGAGGGGCGAGAGAGGAGAGAGTGCGAGTGGGCGGAGTGCGAAGGGTGAGAGAGGAAGGACGGTGTGTGGATGGCGTTTGAGAGGCACTTCAACTACTCGGAGTTTGCTGTGCGAGTGGCTGAGGATGATATCCCCCACCTCGTGGACATTCTAAGGGTGAGTGACCGAGGGCGGGACGAGAGAGGGGAGAGGGCGAGTGGGGGGGGGCAAGGAGAGAGGGGCAAGAGAGGCAGGATGGCATGTGGATGACACCCCCTCTCACGTTTTTGGTCCTCGCATCAACCTTCTACCCATCCCGCCCTCTCATTTTTTTTCAACCCTAAACCTTCTACCCATCCCCCACTCCCTTCACCGTCCCTCCCACCAAGCCACCCCCCTTAACTCGTGTGGCTGCGATAGGGATACCCACCTCCCATTTCCCCTTCCACCCGTCCCCCGTGCCGCCCACCAGGCCATCCCCCTTAACCGCGTGCAGGAGCTTCTGGCAGGAGTGGAGTCAATGTGGCAGCGGTGGGCGTATGCGAGTGTGGCGAGGATGGAAGGCAGGAGGCAGGCTCACGGGGGCAGGCCGCAGCTGTGGATGCCTGCAATGGAGGACCTGCGGGGGGACGATGCTATCGCTACGCTTCTACAGGTATGGCAGAAGGGGAAAGGGGAAAGGGAAAGGGGAAAGGGGAAAGGGGAAAGGGTAAAGGGGGTACATGGGGGGGTGTCTGCAATGGAGGACCTGGGGGGGGATGATGCCATTGGCACGCTTCTACAGGTATGTGGAGTGGGGTCAAGGGGCTGAGGTGAGCGATAGGGAGAGGGTGCTTTTGGGGGTTTGGGGGGCACATGGAGGCAGGCCGCAGCTGTGGATGCCTGCAATGGAGGACCTGCAGGGGGATGGCGCCTTTGCTACGCTTGTACAGGTATGGCAGAAGGGGAAAGGAGGAAGGGGGAACACAAGGGGGAGGGGGAACACAGGGGGGAGGGGGAACACAGGGGGGAGGGGGAACACAAGGGGGAGGGGGTACACAGGGGGGAGGGGGAACACAGGGGGGAGGGGGTACACAGGGGGGAGGGGGTACACAGGGGGGAGGGGGAACACAGGGGGGAGGGGGTACACAGGGGGAGGCCGCAGGTATGGATGCCTGCAGTGGAGGGGATGCGGGGGGGTGCTGCCATTGCCACGCTTCTACAGGTATGGGGGATGGGGGCGACGGGCAGAGGTGAGGGTAAGGGAGAGAGTGTTATTGGGGGTTGGGGGCACACAGGGAGGGGAAGGGAGGGAGCAGCTGTGGATGCCTGCAATGGAGGGCATGTGGGGGGGACGATGCCTTGGCTATGCTTGTACAGGTGCGGGAAGGGGAGGGGCAAAGGGCAGAGGCGGACAATAGGTGCTACAACCTCTGGAGAAATCAGTTCAGGCGGCGAGCTGTATCCTTGAGGCACCTAGTAAACTTTGGATTTCCCTGTGAACTCTATACCAGAGATTCCCGTGCTGAGTGCGTGTCTGTGTCTCTGTGTGCGCCTGTGTGAGTGTGGCGGGCAGGTGTTGCTGTATAAGAGGTGTAATGACCCGTGGAGGAAGGAGGCTGGGCTGCCAGACTGGTGCATGGTAAACGCTGTTGGTAGATAACATAACAGCACCACACACCACACACCTGAGGCTTTAAATATATATACGAACGAATTGCCCAGCTGGTGCCAGACTGGTGCAAGACTGGTGCTCGAGCTCCAGTAATTGAGAACTTCTCATCCCAGGGTTTTTAATTGACACTACCTGGTACAGCCAATGCAGCAGCAATTGATGGACTTCAGGTGGTTACGTATATGCAATGCAAGTATGCATAAAAAAATAATCAATATAACTTCTGGACAGGTCTGTGACTTCTTTTCAGCCCAGCAGCCAGTAAAGGAAAAGGTGAGTAGTGTCTCCTCAGAGATGTCAACCTAGCAAGAGTATGCTGTGCTGTTTCCACCCACTGCATCTGCAGTGGTGACGGCAGCGACATCATTCAGGCTGCAGTCATATGTGCCATCACTCTCTGTGAATGGGTGCAAATGGGTGTGGAACGGCACTAACAGGCAGGGAAGCCAACCACGCGCACCCATTGTAGCGGTTCACATGGCCAAGGTGGGTGGTGAGGTGGTTGAGTGAGAGCTTGGGGCAGGAGGAGGATCAAGGAGGGGGAGGAGGATCAAGGAGGAGGAGCATTCAGTGATAGTCAGAGTGACTCAGTCATAATAGGCGGTCCACGTGGTCAAGGTGGTGTGGTGGTTGAGCGAGAGCTGGGAGCGGCAAGAGGAGAGAGGAGCAGGTGACTCAGCACTCTGGCTGACACACAGCGTGACCGATCAGGCAGGTAGTGGCTCACTCAGTGAGAGTAGAGCGGGCAATGACGCTGACTCATAATAGGCGGTCTACATGGTCAAGGTGGCCGGGGTGGTGGTTGAGAGAGAGTTGGGAGCGGCGCGAGATGGAGTAGGCGGTGTCAAAGTGCAGACCGTCTGAGATGTGGCGCGTGTCGTTGGGACACAGCCAGCACAATGCCTCTGGCCCTAGAATCTGGAGGAGGGGGGGGGAGTGAGGAGGAAGAGAGAAGGAATTGAAGGGGAGAGGTGCTTTGGGCAATGGAATACATTACGTAGAAGGCATGTGTTGGGACACAGCGAGCACCGCCCCTCTGGTCCTAAAACACTCCGGGAAGGGTTAGGAGAGCTTATGGTAGAGAGATTGGCGATAATCCCAAGGTCGTATGGGTGGGAGGAAGCAGAGGGGGAAGGGTAGGGAGTGCTTACTGCGGAAAGATTGGCGATAATCCCAAGGTCGTATGGGTGGGAGGGGGGTGGTTGACTTGGCACCACTGGTCTTGGGCTCACTAGTCTCGCCCTCACACCCTCATAGTGCTGTACACGTGGAGTGGGATAAGGAGGAGGGACGGAAGGTAGGGAAGAAAAGGGAAGCGGAGGGAAGCAGAGACAAGCGTTCTTAGATTCGACTCAAAACACCGCTAGTCTTAGGCTCATCACTAGTTGCGGCCTCACACCCTCGCAGTGCTGCATATGTGGAGTGGAATGAAGAGGAGGAAGGAGAACGCAAGCAGATAAATAGAGAGGCAAGTGTGCTTGGGCCCACCAGTCACATGGCATGGAATGAAGATGTTGAATGGACGGAGGGTAGGCAGGAGGAGGGAAGAAGAGGGAAGCAGAGATAAAGGTTCTTGATATATTTTTCAAACAGCACTTGGTTTGGTTTGGGCTCACTACTGGAACCCTCACGCTCTTGTAGTGCTACACAGCACACAACACAGGGAACGAAGAGGAGGAAAGACGAGGCAAGCAGAGGCACACAGAGAAGAGAAATACAGAAGGGGAATGGAGGGGGATAGTGTTTGGGAGATTGCTGGGACGATTACTGGATGGATTGTTGGAAGACTGGTGGGCTCACCTCAATGGTGGTTTTGTTGATGGCAATGAGGTAGCAGTGCCACACGAGCAGCACCACCAGAGCGATCAGCAGTGGTAGACTCACAAGCAAGCACAGTGCCTGGTGGGGAAAAAGGGCGAGGTTGGAAAGAGAATGGTTCGTAGGTGGCACTTGGTGCTTAGGCGGACGGTGTGCGTGAATGGTTCTTGGAGAATGTAAGTGTCCCACTTTTGCCTTGACGCATGAGTCGACAAGTAATATATTCGGCGACTAGTGAGGCACCTCAAAGCTATAGAGGGGGCTCTAAAAAGGAGAGAATGACGAGCCACTGACCCGGAGCACAGAGCAGGTGAGTGGGGAGGGTACAAGCAGCAATGCCGGCTGGGAGTACGCCTCTTGCCCCACTGCCGCCGCTGCTGCTGCCACTGCTGCTGCTGCTGCCGTTGTTGTTGATGCTGCTGAGGAGTCGAGATGGGCCGTGGAGGAGTGCGGGAGCGGGTCAGCAGACCAGGAGGAAATGAAGAAGGCAATGAGAAGAGCCTGGGAATTCAGGGGTCAGGGGGTTTTGCAGGGGTGGAAGATGGGGGGAGAGAGGGGGTTTTAGCTGACCGAGTGGCACAGCACTGGCATGCACTGCACTCATGAGAGTGGGTCACAAAAGGACTGGTTGATTCAACTGTACGGTGTAAGGAAGGTGTGCGTGTGCTAATGTGGTAGAAAAAGGTGGATATCACATCATGGTGTGAGTGAGTAAAGGTGGTTAGAGCAGTGTGATGTGAGCAAGAGGTGGTGGTTGGGTACCATACCACGGTGTGAGTGAGGGCAATAACGTCATAGAGAACAAAGAGGAAGAAGGCCTTGTAGTTGGCGTGGCCCACGCAGTTGTTGATCCACACACAGTGGTGGTCCTGATATGAGGGCCAGAGGGAATTGGAGAGGCAAGGGGAAGTGAGGAGAAAGAGGAGAGAGCGGGAGGTGAATAGGGGAGGGGAGGGGGGGGGGGGGGGACGAGAACGGGAAGAGGGCCTTGTAGTTGGCGTGGCCCCCGCAGTTGTTGATCCACACGCAGTGGTAGTCCTGTGAGGGACGGCCAGAGAAACGAGAGAGGCAAGGGGGAGTGAGGAGAAAGAGAAAGGGCAGCGTGGCATGGCCTAGCACGGCTTTTAACGTTTCATTCCCCCCATCGCCACGTCAGCACTGACGTGGCCTGTGATTCATTCCCCCTCCCTCATCTGCGCCCCTTGATTCCCCCTCCCCCTTTCACTGCACACTCCCGCTTCCCCTTCCAACCTCCCCCCGTTCTTCTCCCCCTCTCCTCTTCTCCCCCTTCGCCCTCCCTTCCTTCCCAGGTTTCCCTCGCTCCTTGTTCCCCCTCCCCCCCCCCACCTTATTCCCCAAACCTTTCCTTCTCCGCCTCTTCTCCCTTCCCCGTACCCCCCAGTCCCCCCAACTCTCTCCCGCGCACCATTCTCAGCACGCAGCGCTTGCAGATGCGGCAGTGGTGGCAGCGCGCCGGCTTGTACGCGCCGCACTTCTGACAATACCGCGCCTCGCCGCCCTTCCGCTTCACCTCCACCAGCACCGGAGTTAATCTCCCCGCCTCCGCGTTAATCTCCGCGTCGCCCTCCGCGTCGGGAACGTAGTGCGCGGGGACCGATCCCGGATCGCGGAAAATAGAGAGCATGTAGGAAAAGACGACCATGGTGGTCCAGCCGCAAAACGCGGCGACGTTAAGGACACCTGCGGCGGTGATTAGTCCTAGCCAGGGTTGCACGACGAGGAAGATCGCGGTGTACGCGACGAACGCGATTAAAGCGAAGCCCGCTATAACGGGCAGCGAAAGGCACCGCGTGTACGCCATGGGAGGACGGTGGGGGCGGTGGAGGGGGAGGGGGAGAGGAGCAGGACGGGGGGAAGGAAATGTACGGAGGGGGCGGAGTGGGAGGGGCGCGGGGAAGCGGGGAGCTGAGGGGCAGCGGGGGAGACGATGGTGCGCGGAGCGGAGTCCGCTGCACGCGCGGCAGGCGCCGGGAGACCTTGACGATTCCGCGCCAACCAAATTCCGCGGTTTTGGGGGCCACCGCTGTTGGGGGGGGCACCACTAGGCCATCGGAGGTTGATAGGTAGGTGCAGGTGTCTATTTTCGAGATTCGAGGTGCCTACGGGCCTACGGATCGGCCTGCTGGGCAGCCCTAGGTGTCTTTATTCGAGGCACCTAACGATCGGCCTAGGTACGCAGCGCGGGGCGTCGATATTTAAGATTCGAGGCGCCTTAATACTTGTCGCGGGGCGGCGATAGGCGGAATTAGGCGGAGCTAGGCGGCAATAGGCGGCGGTAGGGAGTGCTAGGCCATTAGGCGGAACGGCGGCCGCGACGCGGTGCGCGCAGGGATCGCGAGAACGGTCTAGATTGCAGTAGAATAGTACGTTGTCGAGCCATCCTACCGCAGTGAAGCTGCATTGGCCTAGTTCGTTTCCGCCGCTTCCGCCTCTTCCGCTGATGCGCAAGTATTCTAGTGTCCTTGAGACAACATTTTGCGATGCCTCGGTAACTCTCTTGAGGGTGTCGGCCTGTTCCGCTGCGAAGTGGGGTGCGTATGTCGATAGAATGTGATGGAAGATACTAGTTAGTTACCAGTCAGTTATGAATGTACCATGTGTGCATGCGTGAGACAGGGTTGGCGATGCGAGGAATAGAGGAGCGAGCGGAGCGGAGCGAGTGGCGAAAAAAAAGAGGCGCGAGAGGGTGGGGCGTGATTGACGGGACGGGACAGATGGAAAACATAGTCTGTACACGTGGCTTCGCGTAATTGAACGGATATACTTGAGACTGGCCGTTGACGCAATTATGGGAATGCGATGAGGGCGGAGCGGAAGGAGCATTTGGATTGGACTGCTGGCGGGAGAACATCGCGCATTTTGACAAAGGGACTTATAGCGGAGATTGGCTGAAGTCCCTTCTGGTCATCGACTCAGGGATAAAGCTGGCGTGGAATGTGGTTCAACATAATGGATGGAATGATACACATTCACATTATTACGATACAATGGAGCACACCACAGCACAGTGCTCAAAGCACATTAAAAAAACCCACGGTTCCTCATATTTTTATTCCTCCAACCTTTTCTGCAGTTTCGCAACAATGGCCTGAAAGACATCGTCTGCTGCAAGCGATGGCGTGAGGCGACGTTGGTCATCCCCAGGAAGAAGAGCAAGCGGGTTGAACGATGGACTCGTCCACACCAGCTTGCTCCAGATATTACCCATTTCTTCACGCCGCTTATCAATATCCTTTTGCGGGGTTTTGAGGAGGCTTGTAACGAGAACATGCGCTTGCGAAGCAGGGAGCGTCAGTGAGAGATCAGACCAATCCAAAACAGTGCTGTTTTGGAGCGACTGTGGTGGTGATACTTCTCCCTCCTCGTCACGCTGTATGAAGACAGGAATGCAGCCGTGCAGGACAAAAAGAAATGCTTCCATTGTGTGAGTCCAGCCAGGCAACACCAAGCAGAAGACGCTATCCAATGCTGCATCAACCACTGCTTCCAACCCAAAGCTGCCACTCCCGCCACCGTCGCTGTTACCGCTGTCACTGTTATCGCTGCTGCTGCTGCCATCTCGGTTTTGGTTTTGGTTTTCTCTATCCTGCGACAGCACAATCACCTTACCCTTGTGAGCTTCTTCTTTCAACCCCAACATCACTCTATCCCTCACCTCCTTCACGCCACCATCCCCCCTCTCACTGCTCGCCTCTCCCCCACCACCACCCCCCACACCCTCACCCGTCCATTCCCTCACACTCCAGTCACTGAACAGCAGGAGGGTGCCACGAGTGGGTTGCTTGGCTGGGGGGCGGAGAGTGAAGAGGGAGCGAGTTAGGGCAATGGGAGGAAGAGCAGGAGGCAGCAGAATGTCTTGACTGGGCAGGAAGCAGGGAAGTGAGGATGACTCATTCCCGCTGCTGCTGGTGGGGCTGGCGGCAGCAGCAGCACTTCTGTCAGTTTCAGGCGAGACTTGAATGAGGGGAGAGCTGGGGAAGGTAGTATCTGCCACTGGAATCGCCAGGAGCGAGCAGCGGGCGAGCAACGGGTGGCGGGATTTGTCCGGAGTGAGCGAGCAGAGGGGGCTGTGAGGAGGAGCGCCGGTGGTGATGGTGGTGAGGATAAGGTGATTGGCTCCATTGGAATTAGACCAGAAGGGCCAGAGGCGCCTCACGTAGTACACTGCTCGCAGGATGGATGCTTCTCCCGCCCTGCTCGTGTGGAGCGGGGAGGGAAGCGAGAGGAGAGGGAGACAAGGGGAGGGAGTGGGGAGAAGAAAGGGGGAGAGAGGTTGAAGAAAGGGGCGGGAAGGGGAGAAGAATGGGGATGATGTGAGAAGTTTGAGTGAGAAATGACGCACCAGGGGAGCACCGGGATAAGGAAAAAACAAGAAAGAAGCATAAAGGTTGACATTGCAGTAAGGTCCCCTTAACAACTGGACAGAAAGGGGGGGAGATGGCGAGAGATAGGGAGCGACAAGACGCACCAGGGGAGCACTGGGATGAGGAAGAAGTGAGCAGCATCGGGGTTTGCAGGGCGGTAGGGAAACGTTTATCAGCCAGGCCAAAAAAAAGCTGCGCGGTGACCAAGCTCACCAGGGGAGCACTGGGATGAGGAAGAAATGAGCAGCATAGGGGTCTGCCGTGCGGTAGGGGCTCCTCAATAACCGCTCCAGAAACAGCACTGCCTCTACCCCCTCCGCTCCCCCCTCCCACTCCCCTCCGCCCTCTCCCCCTCCCCTTCCGCCCACTCTCCCCCCATCGTCTCCCCCCTCACCAGCCTTCGGGCCAGGAGAATGAGAGGGTGCGGAAAAGGGGGAGAGTAAGGGAGAGGAGGGGGGTGTGCCGAGGAGCAGGGACCAGGAGGTAACGTGGGGGGGAAGGTCGTAGATGTAGATGAGAGGTGAGGAGGCAGGGGCGGGGGTGGTGAGAGAGAGGTCTTCGGGCCAGGAGAACGGGGGTGCGGCCACAACACTGAGGGGAGCGGGGTGGGGGGGAGTAGTGGGCAGTGGGGAAAGGGTGGGGGGAAGAGAGGGGATCAGGAAGGTGGCGGTGGTGGTTCTTGGTGTGCCGTTTTGGAGAGAAACGGAATGCGAGGAAAGAGAGGAGCTTGAAGGTCTGGGGAGTGCAGGCGGAGTGCAGTGGGGGGCGAGCAGCGAAATGAAATGAAAGGGAGGGTGGTGGCGTTCTGGACATGAAGTACCACGGAATGTGGCCCAATCCCATGCTCCATTTCATACATGCTGCTTCTCCACTGCCCACTCACTGCATGCAGCCCCCATGCCTCATGCTCTGGGGAGGGGGCAAGCAGTGGATGGCCACACAACCACAACCACATGCACCCAGGCAAGCAAACACACACATGAACACACACCTCTCCTTCCCTCTCCACCCTCTCACCGCGTGCGGTCTCTGGGCCCTGCTGTAGAGAGCGCATGGGCATTGGATGCCCATACAAGCACAAGCACGTACACACACCCACCACACATAAGCAGCTCTTTCCCTGCCCACCCTCTCACCGCGTGCGGTCAATGGGCCCTGCTTTGGAGAGCGAGCAGTCGATGCTGAAATACCCCGGGTTGCAGATGCAGAAGCCATGCACACACACGCCCCGAGAGTGGCACTCGTTGAGGCACGTGAACGGCAGCAGAGAGGGCAGACGGGCGCATGAGGGGCCGGAGAGCATGGGTGGACACCTGAAGAGGGGGAAGGAGAGGGGTTGGGGGGTGGGAAACGGGTAGGGAGGAGAGGAGGAATGGCTTAAGGCAACACAAAGTGGGTGGCGCTGTTGTTCCTGCTTCCCCTCCCCCGAGTTTTTTTTTAGAATCCTAAGAAAAACTCCCCAGATTGCAGATGCAGAAGTCTATCCCAGGGAGGTGTACTTTTGAGGTGCCTCAAAAGTAGACGCAGTGGGTGGCGCTGTTGTTCCTGCTTCCCCTCCCCGGATTGCAGACGCACAAGCCTATCCCAGGGGGGTTTCTTTTTTCCTAAAAAGCAATAATGGAGGTTCAGCAGAGCACTACTTCATACAAGCGCTGGTTACTTACCCCTCGTTGCACCCACATACCCCTCGTTGCACCCACATACCCCTCGTTGCACCCACTCACATGCACTGCTTGCTCGCGAGGCACACACCCAACCCAGAGCAGTTTCCGGGGCATTCAGAAGGTAGCAGGAGCGACTGCAAGAGAGGGTAAGGGTTCGACGCAGTAGCAGCACCAGCAGCACCAGCACCGTTGCTCTGCTGCCCTGCCACTCCCTCTCCCACTCTCTCACGCGCTCCTGTCTCGCCGCCCGCGCCATCCGTCGCCATCCGCACCACGGGTTTCTTCAGCAAAGAGGACAAGCCCTGCCACCCAGCCCGCTGCCACGCAGGTTGGCTCAACGCAGGGTCGTCTGCTTCCTCCTCTCCCTGACTCCCTTCCTCCTTTGCCTCTGCTCCAACTGCACTTCCCTCTCCCTCTCCTCTTCCCACCCCCTCCTCTGCACCACCCTGTTCTCCCCCTTCTCCCCCACGTCCCTCCCCCCCCTCACTCTCATCCAGGCATAGCGGAAAGGGAGGAACGCCCGCCCTCTCACACTCCAATGCACACTCACACGATGACAGAACCCCGCACGGCGTCCAATACCCAGGTGCCACGTGGCAGGAGGGCATGGCAAGGTCGGAGCAATCCTCCCCTGTGAGGCCCGGGGGGCAGTCGCAGCGTTTCAGCTCCTCGTTGCACGTGCCGTGCGTGTAGCAGGCCTCGTTACACGCACCACCCGATACACTCTGTGCTGCTAATGATGCCGACGACTCCGACCGCTGCTGCTGCTGCTGCTGCTGCTGCTGCTGCTGCTGATCCAACTTCGCTCCTGCTGCTGCCCCTGCTGCTGCTCCTGCTGATTCTGCTGACCCTGCTACTTCTGATCCCGCTCCTGCTGCTGCTGCTGCTGCATTCAAACCCGTATCCTCTCCCCGCCCCCCTCCCTTCCCCTCCAACCTCCTCCTGAGGGCGCTCATCACCGTGGCAAACACATCTCCTTTCTCCAACCGCACCGCCATCTCATCCTGCAACCCCTTCGGCAGGAATTCAAAGGGGTTCAGCTGGGTGCTGGCCCACACGAACTTGACCCACTGGTCGAGCATAGCGCGGCGCTTTGCGCGGCGTTCAGAATCGGGGATGGAGGAGAGGATGCGGGGCAGGTGGGGGATGTCGGCCTTTGTGAGGAGCACCGCGAGCCGGGACCAGTCCGTGCCGTCGCCCTCAAAGGGCTGAACCACGTGCGGCTGTGGAGGAAGGAGCGAGAATGGTGAGTAAGTGGAGGTGGGGAGAGACAGGGGAAGGAGTGAGAGAGGCAAAAACAAATCCAGTGTCTGAGGGGAAGAAAGGTGGTGGATTGGGGGGGAAACGATGAGTGCACCAGCTATTGTTTGCGGGGCGTTTGAGTTTCGGGATGGAGGAGAGGATGCGAGAGGGGTGAGCATGAGAATACCTATAATTCCACAGGCACACAAGGCACCACGCACCTGAACAAAGTCACCAGATAAACCTCATTCCAGCATGCTCGCTTGTGTCCTCCTCACATCCCATTTCCATCACTAACCTGATGCCGCCAGGCTGGGGAAGGGAAGGTGAATCAAGCACGCCCCACATACCCACCTGGATGATCACGGGGATGCACCCCAGCATGAGCGCCTGCGTGGTCCTCATAGCCCACCCCCACCCAGACGGCGCCAGGCAGAACACCGCCCGCTGCATCTCCACCAAGTACCCCTGCGGCACCCCTTCTGTGCTCTCCAACAGCACTCCCGTCTCGTTGAACCGCCCTCCGAACAGCTTGAACACCTCTTGCCGCACGCCGAAGCTCCAGTGGTACGGCCCGTGCGGCTTGGCTTTGTCTGCCGGCCAGCCTTTGAAGTAGAGGAGGGTGGTGCGGTTGGCGCCGGAGAGCACGGCTTCTAAAGAGTTCCTCTCTTCCTCTGCTTCCTCCTGTGCTCCTATTTCTGTGTCCTTTCCCGTACCTTCTGCCGCTCCTGCTTCCACCCCCCCCCCCGGCTTCCCCCGCCTCCTCATTTCCCTCTTCATCATCTCCTTCACCTCCACCACATACCGGTACACATCAGGAACCATCATGGGCGGAATCGCCACATCCTGCCCCGGTTCAAAGCACCTGTTGGGTGCATCCTCCAGGTTCATATTCCGCGTGAGGCCCCAGAGAGTGAGCGTGATGCTGTTTGCGAGAAACAAATCCCTCTCCCCTGATACCGAAATGTCACAGTTCCCCCAGTCGTCGTTCGTCACAAACACGTGGTCCGACCCGTTGCTCCGGTCCCAAAACGGCCACGTGGAACGCAGATAGGATACAGCCCACGCCAGGGTGTTTGCTTTCATGAGCCGAGCGCGGAACATGAGCGGGACGTAGAAGAAATCGGCATGTGCGGGGTCTGGGGTGCGGTGGGGGGAGCGCAAGAGGCGCTCTAGAAAGAAGACTTGCTCTCGCCAGTCGATGTAGCGGGTTTGGGCGAACTGCCACGTGTTGAAGTGCGGCGGGAGGTCGTAGACGTAGATGAGCGGGCGGAGGGGCGAGGGGGAGGGAGAGGGAGAGGGGGGTGGTACGGCTGTGGACCAGAGGAATGGTTGCAAGCGCATTATCCTGGTGGGGGGGGGATTGTGTGGGGAGAGGGAGGAGAGGGGAGTGGGAGGAGAGTGGGAGAGTGACGGATGGATGGAGAGGAGGTGGGGAATGAGGAGTGGGGAGTGGGGAGTGGGGAGAGGGGAGCAGGGAGTGGGGAGAGCGGGAGGAGGAGGAGGAGGAGGAGGAGGAGGAGGAGGAGGAGGAGGAGGAGGAGGAGGAGGAGGAGGAGGAGGAGGAGGAGGAGGAGGAGGAGGAGGAGGAGGAGAGTGATAGAAGGGCGGAGGAACGGAAGAGGGGGCAAGAAAGTGAGAGATTACCGTTTGTTCTACACTGCCTCATGACCCCTTGTGCGTCGATGAACAAGGAGCAGTCCGACCAACACACACACGCCCCGTCATTGCACACACCACGCTCGTGCAACTTTGGCTTTTATTCTCCACGCCACCCGGCCCGCTCCTACTCCCTGGCAGTCAGTACCTGGTGGTCCCTTGAGCGTCGATGAACATGGAGCAGTCAAGGCCGAAGTACCCCCGCTGGCACACACACACTCCGCGCCTGCACTCGCCCCGCCCGCTGCAGCCGTTGAAGCAGTCAAAGGGTAAGTCCCCCCGCGTCTCACATGCGCGCCCGTTGTCATACCATGCACAGCTGCATATGGATGGGAGAACAGGGGGATGGGGAACGGGAGTAGGGGGGTAGAGTGCTAAGAGGGGATGACGTTTCATGAGTGAAAGAAGGTAGCATCAAATGGATCGGGGGGATCGGGGGGAGAAAGGGGTGGAGAGGGTGGGGGAAGGGACGGTGGAACTGGAAGAGACTAAGGAAAATAGCTGTTTAAGCAAAGGGGGCATCGCATGGGCATAGGCATGTGCATGTGCATGTGCATGCCCCACACACCCTCGCCCCACACATCCCCACACACTCCATCACCCCACACACCCCGTGACTCCACGCACCCCCTCACCCCACACACCTCCTCACTGCACCACACTCACTCGCACACCTTGGACTCCTTCCGACACACTCCCCGTCCCGAGCACATGCTCTCACACTCCTCCGGACCAGCCCACGGGCTGGGCCCATCGCTCACCACCGCTCTCCGCCCCTTCCCATCCTTCCCCACCCCCGCCCCCACATCCTGAAACTGCGCATCGAGCGCCACAGCATATCGCGTCCCAGAGAAGATCACCGAGAGGTTTGTCTCAGGGGTTCCGTCCGGCCGATTCCCCTCAAAGCACTCAAAGAACCCCAGCAAACGCCACCGCGCACAGGCAGCAGCGCAGGCGCAAGTGCTGATCACAGAGCAGGGGGTAGCATATGTGAATCCCGTCCCTGTGCCGTTGCTCTCCCCCAAACTCTCCCCCAAGTGGCATTCCGGCATGGCGATGGCTTGACATGTGGGCCCGGTGAATCCGGGGGGGCAGTCACAGCGGCCTAGCTCCTCGTTGCATGTGCCGAATGCCGTGCATTCTTCGGGGCATTTTGAAGGCCGGGAGAGGTCCGGGCCTGGCCCGCCGTATGCCTGCGCTGCTTTGATGCGTGCCTGGCGCTCTTGCTCGGTCTCTGCGCTTTGAGTTGCCTCCACTGCCCCGTCTGTAGTGAAGCCAAGAGGGGGAAGAGCGTCTGAGTCTTGGGGGGGTTCTAAAGGACTGGCACCATCAGCAGCAGCAGCAGCAGCAGCAGCAGCAGCAGCAGCAGCAGCAGCAGCAGCAGCAGCAGCAGCAGCAGCAGCAGCAGCAGCAGCAGCAGCAGCAGCAGCACCATCAGCATCACCAGCACCAGCAGAAACGTCATCAGCAGCACCATCAGCACCTGCGGCACCAGAAGCATCATCAGCATCATCACCATCAGCATCATCAGCATCAGCACCATCATCACCACCATCAGAACCATCAGCATCACCAGCATCAGAATCACCAGTTGCAGAACCAGTGGTAGCAGCAGCATCAGAATCAGGTTGCCCCTCGGTCCTGTCCCTCTCTGCGACACCTTCTACCCCATCTCCCTTAATCTCTTCCCCAACTTCCCCCCCTCCTGCCCCTTCCTCTTCCCCGTCCTCCTCAACTTCCTCTCCCTCCTCCTCTCCCCACTCCTCTCCTCCCTCCTCTCCCCCCTCCTCCCCCCCATCCCCTCCCCTCTCCTCTCCCCCTTCCCCCTCCATCCTCCCTCTCAGAACGTGCATCACGGAACTAAACACATCCCCATCAGCCAGCAACAGCCCCGCTCTGTGAAACGCCCGGGACACAGCCAGGCCCCGGGGCAGCGGGTTGAACTGAGAGCTCGCCCACACCAGCTTCGGCCACGCCTCACGCAACTCCCGCTGCATCGCAGCAACGGCTTGTGGGGAGAGGGAGGAGATAAGGGTCGGGAGATCCGGGAGTTGTGCAAGAGGGACGCGGAGGGAGAAAGCGGTCCAGTTGAGCCCGTGAGGGTGGTCGAGGGGGAGGAGAGTGTGGGATCCGACCACCACGGGGATGCACCCGGCTAGGACGCTCGCAACAGACGACGAATGCCGCCCCTGAGCGGCCGTGGTGAGGCAGAAGGTAGCGTTGAGCAAGTCGGATACCCGCACCTTGGCTGATTCTTGCACCTCTATTTGCCACTTGAGCTCTGCTGTTCGCGATTCAAAGAGCTCCAAAAATTGGTTCCTCACAGAGGAAAACCGTGCCGTGCGATACTGCTGCGGGTCTGAAGCAGCAAACCGTGCAAAGAGAACTGTCGGGCGAGGGGGCGATACCGATTGCATGTCAATGCTGTCACTACTGCCGTTGCTGCTGTCGGCTGGGGAGACATTGGCAGCACTGGACTCCGCTCTCTGTAACTCCGCCAAGAATGGAATCGCATGATAATCCTTCAACCGCAGCAGAGGCGGTATAACCACATCCCGCCCCCGCTGAAAGCACGGCAGCAGCGGCAGTGGCGATGACACCGATAACGCTGGATCCTGCTGTTCCTTGGCCTCCCCTTGACCGCGGGACGTGGGGGGAGTGAGCGAGCGGGTGTAACCGCACGTGGAGAGTATGATACTACGTGAGAGGAGGGGTTCTTCAGTGGAACCAGAATCCTCGAGTTCGCGGCGAGAGAGGGGCGGGGGGAGGAGGAAGATGTGGTCTGAGCCGTTGCGGCGGCCCCAGTAGGGCCATGTGGTGCGTATGTAGGTGATAGTGGATGTCAGGAGGTTGGCATCGAGTGCTTTGTCATTGCTGCGGTTGGTGAGCAGGTGGGGTTGGGTTGGTTTGGGAAGGGTTTGGGGGAAAGGGAGTGGGAGATGGTTTGGGGTTTGGGGTTTAAGGGAGGCGAGCAGTGGACAAACAAGGAGGCACGGGGAGACAGGCTCACTCACAGCAGAGCTTCAGGAGTGCAGGGTGCATGGAGCGAGACAGTGACAGGGCGGTTGTGAATTGAAAGATTGGAGGGAGATTCAGGGGCAGGCAGCAAGGGCACGAGCAAGCCAGGAACAGAAAGGTAAGGCAGGGTAAAGCAAAACAGGTGCAGGGGGAGCAAAGGGCGGACACGGTCAGTAAGGGAAAGGCACAGCAGCAAGCAAGGGAGGCAAGGGGATACACGCACACCCACCGGAATAAGAGCGGCACGTAGAACAAGTCTGCGGTATCAGGGGTTGCAGAGCGGTGCCCGCTGTTTAGCAGGCGTTCGAGGAAGAGCAGAGGCTCCAAGTGAGGCGAGCGAGAGGAGAGGCGCAGGGGCCAGGTGGTGGAGGACGAGGGGAGGTCGTAGACGTAGATGAGCGGACGGGAGGCGGCTATGCGCGCGAGGGAAGGAGGAGGGATGTGGTGTGCCCAGCGGAACGGGGGAAAGAGGAGGTTCCTGAGGGGGGGTGGGGAGGGGGAGACGAAGGGAAGGGGAGAAGGAGGGGGAAGGAGAAGGGGGAACATGATGTAGAATGAGTCCCAAGGGGAACATGATGTAGAATGAGTCCCAAGGGGAACATGATGTAGAATGAGTCCCAAGGGGAACATGATGTAGAATGAGTCCCAAGGGGAACATGAAGTAGAATGATTCCAAGGGGAACATGATGTAGAATGAGTCCCAAGGGGAACATGATGTAGAATGAGTCCCAAGGGGAACAACAATCAGCACAGAGAGCAGCAGGAGTAGCAGCTTCAGCAGCAACACCAAAAGCACTGGTGTGCTTGGAGGAGTCTATGTGTGCTTTGAACGAGAGTCAACACAGCAGCACTAGCACCCGCAGCACCCGCACACGTGCCTGACGCTGCCCATGGTGTCCAAAAACAGCGAGCAGTCAACTCCAAACGTCCAGTACTGGCAGCGGCACGTGCCCTCCATGCACTCCCCCCGCCCACTGCACGCGTTCACACACCCCACGCCCTTTGCCACCGCCTCACACGCCTTCCCTGTGCGGAACCAGGGGCACCTGCATGGGACCAGGGTGGCACGAGGGGGGAAGGAGAGAGGGGAAGGGGAGTGGGAGGGAGAGAGGTGGGAAGTTAGGGAGAAGTGTTTAGAGGCTTGAGCTGGGAGGCTTGTGGGTGGGGCGGTGCGGGTAGCAGGTGGCGAGGTTGGCGCAGCAGGGTCACAGGTCACGAGGAAGACACGAGAAGCAGTATGGATGAAAGAAAAGGCCCCTGGGGGTAGGTATGTACGTACCTGCAGCCATCAGAGTAGCAGGTGCCAACACCAGAGCACCGCTCAGGGCATTCCCCAGGTGGTCTCAAGTGCTCCCCTCCGTCCAACTCCCCCTCCCCCACCCTCTCCCTCCCCGTCTCCTCGCCTGACCCGCTGGCGGTCACCCTGTACCACTCCCATCCCGCTATCCGTCCCCCCGGTGCTGCTGCTGCCAGTGCTGAGTCTAGACACGTGGCGGGGTGTGGTAGGTGGTGTTTGTCGCAGTCTAGCAGGCAGGCACAGGAGGAGTGGAGGAAACAGGGCGACATCGCAACCACACCACCACCGTTACCCTCATCTGCCTTCTCTCCCGCGTCTTCATTTCCTGGAATCTTCGAGCACCCAGGCATGACCAGTTCTGTGCAGTGTTCACCCCCATATCCGGGCATACACCGGCATGCACCGATTTCCTCGTTACAGCTGCCTCGATTGTGGCACTCGTCGCTGCATTTAGATCCCGCCCAGACCGGCGCCAGCGGCGGCGGTTCGAAAGTCGGCGCCACCAGCGGCACAATTCGCGGGGTCATTGTCCAGGTGGCGAAGGGGACGCCGCCGCCGCCGCCTGCAGCGCGCGCGGAGTCTGCGCCGCGTAGCAGGGGGGGATCTTTCGCTAGCATCGGCGCAAGCTGCGGGGCGGCGGGGGAGGCGGAGATCGGCGGGGCGAGGGGAGCTGGTCGTTGGGGAAACAGAGCTTTGAGCGGTGACGTGGCAGCACGGGATTGGAAGAAATTAAGCAGGAGAAGCTCTAGGGAGACGGCGAGGATCACGAGCAGCACAGCGGCGATCGCGCGGAACACAAGGCTATGCGGGAGGAAATAAGAGAGGCCGCCGAGGAGGGGGAATGTGGGCGCGGATCCGCCGCCAGCCGGCGGTGTTTTGCTACGTGGCACGTGGTAATTGGCGGGGGTGAAAAGAGCCAGCTTTGCATTCGTGCCTGGCCGCTGCGCGCCGAGCGCGCGCGTTGGAAGCTCCAACGACCCCATTGGCGGAGACGAGTGTTGAGACGACTCGAAACTCGAGCCCGGAGAGCGTTAGAAGCAATCACATTAGCGGAAACGGAGCTTAGGAGAGGGAGGAAGAAGAGGAGGAGGAGCAGGAGGGAGGACGACGGACACTGCGTGCCGCCGTGCTGTTAGGAGACAGCAGCTGCTGACATGGCCTTGAGATGCGGCAAGGACAATTTTGGGTCAATTCGGCAGAAGACAGCTACGGTCCGCCGGAAATCTCGCAAGCTGCAATGTGGCGAGAGAATGGATATGGAGCAACGCGAATTCGGACCGAGGAGCTAAGGTTCAAGCGGATCACGGGTGATGATGAGGGGATGTCGGTGGCACCCGCTCGGGCCAATCGCACCATAAGCGAATACAGACGAGTACGCGGGGATGATGATGGTAGGAAGGGAAGGGAAGGTGGTTGATCGGTCCCTCCATGGTGGAACAAATATCTACGATTGGTCCAGGTCAGGACATTACTGTACAACTGATCCGCTGCAGTGCGCGATTGAAGTACGATTGATTCCAACAACTACACAGCTGGTACACTTAAAGGCATACCATACTAAGAATTTCATGCACCATAACTAAAATCACAAAAAGCAAACATTCACTATCTAAATAGACCTTCCACAAAACATATAAATGCATTCGCGTGTTGCTGCATGGGTCACTCTCCTTGAATAAGGGAGATCGCTGGCTCACTTAAATTTGCATGATGCAGGCCAAACTCATTCAAAACTTGATTTTCAGCAAACGCGAAGGCCCTGCGAAAATACACAATCTCAGATTGAGAGGGACATACACTGCACAAGCCATAGAATAAAACAGGAGTTCGAGATGCGAGAACAATCTAACTTTGGAATTTGCATCTTACCGATGAATGCCCTTGTTGCAAACGACGGGGTCGTAATCAGAAGCCTCCCTTGTGCATAGCTTGCAGCCAACAAAATGCACTGTGAACGGCCACTCCCAATTACCCTGTCCGTTGTGCTTTGTGCTTTGAATCTCCTCCAGCCTGTCATTCATGTCAACATGAACACCACAGGATGCGTGGAATTGGAAGAATACAGGAAAAATGAATGCAATCTACTTAACAAGCAAAGGAAATGAAGAAACTAAGATAAAAAAAAATTGTTGCCAATCTTACTTGTCAACAAAGGACACCCAGTAACCATGCAAGGTTGTCCGCCAATCAATCTCAATACGCGGAAGCCATTTGTCCTTGCGCAGCGTCACACCCTTCTTCTTGCTTTCAGGGGTCTCCCCCTCCCCCAGCAGCAGCAGGACCAGAGCCGTCTGATCATCCACAGGCCAATCAGCACGGCCCTGCAAACACACCATTCGCAAGGAAACCAGAACAAACAAGCAAACACTAGAAGCAACAGTAAGTTTAGCACAATATCAATTGCTAGGGCAGACCAGGGCCATACGCTCTTCCATTGTCACATTCAACCTGTGTCACAGGTTGACAGTCCAAAGGTTGACACGTGGCTCCCTGTGGGGCTTACATGCAACGTTTTGCTGGCAACGTGGCCCCATTGCTCGCGCACTGCCTCACTGCTGCCAAACGTTGACCAGTCATCCAAGAAGTCCAACCCATCCTGCCAGCAAGATGTGTGTTATGTGACATGTGTAAAGTGTCATGTCCCATGCGACATGTGATGTGTGATATGTGTTATGTGCCACGAACCACATGACAGACAAGTGTCATGTACCATGTGCCATATCCATGAATAGATGCAGTGCAGGGTGGTGAGAAAACATGAGGGTGGGTTGAGGGTGGTTTCGAGGTATGGTGAGGAAACAGTAAAATGGTTGATCAAAAGTGCACGCTTGATTGCAAAAAAACAAAAGGATGATTGTTGTTGAACAACATGAATGTGTCCCGATAGTGCTAATGAATAGTGCCCGTTATTTAGCAGAAATGGTTGATGTGAAGCGCACCAGTGTGATGAAGTTCCATGAACATAGAAACAAACGCATAAGGAATTACATTCCCAAATCATCATGTTTGACTTGGAACCTTACCTGGCTGTTTCTAATAAAGAAAGCTCCAGTGTTAATGGCCACCCTGCAAATTGGCAAGATAAAGACACACGTGCACAGGGTTAAGAAAAACACATAAGGGAGTGAACAGCGCAAAAAGCATAGGCCATTGACAGCACATGCAACACTGGACATCTATACTTATGAGAAAACCTGTGCTTGATCTACACATACCAGTCCCTTTTTTTGAACAGGGTATCTGGGAAGCCAGATAGGACGACGGTGGCAGACGAGTGTTCCTCTATCGGGTACTCAAATGCCATGTCTGCAAAAAAACAAACCAGCGGTGCGTAAAATGGAAAAATCATCTCCGCAATGCAACAAAACACAGATGCATCCTCAGATGGAGCTTAAGCGAGCAGAGGAGAAAGTTCATAACATGAATGAATCACCCCTACCTGTGATCATGGCGTCTGAGTCAATCCAGAAGAACCATTCCACCTCCGGGTACTTGAGCATTAGCATGCGCAGCAGAGGAATCTTCACCCAGAACGCGGGAAAATTCTTGTTCATGGGACCCATGCCATAGAAGATCTGCAGGTCGTGGATTCGTGCGTAGTCCTGTTTATTCTTGAGGAATTTGAGCAGCAGGAAGTCGCTCTCACCGTGCTCCCCGCACGGCTTACTGTTGGACCCTGTCACCATCATCACCCGTGGCTTGCCCTTTGCCGTTCGGTTGCACCCCGGGTTCGCCGCTATGTGTGCTGCTCGCTTTGCGTCCCAATCTGGTCAGGAGGACGAGGGGAGGAAGAGAATCGGATCGAAGAGGGGAATAAGGGGGTGGGAGGGGAAGGGAGAAGATAAAGTGAGCGAGAAGGTAGCAGCGAGCTTATCTCTAGAGTATCAGTAGACCCCAACCTGGATTCACTCATGAGAACAGCTCTTCAGTAAAGAGAAGCGTTTACAGTGCACCGTAACACACGGCGATGCTCCCTACCAGCTACTTAAAAACTTCCACACTCCAGCCGCCTGAGCTTAGTCTCTCGACCTCCTAACGCTGACTGCGATTTGATCACCTGAAACTTTGGGTCGTAGAAGATAGACGCTTTCTGGCACAGAAACTGCCGTTTCGCCCTTAGACGCTTTCTTCGCAGCTGCGTCTCCGGAAGGATTTGATTGGTCCTTTGAAACTTGCTTGCTCTTCCCAACATCTATTTTCTTTTTTGAATCTTCTGCGTTGCTTTCGCCTTTTGCAGGTGTCTTCTTTCCATCTCCTTCGGAACCCGTGCTCGGACTTGCCTCCACCTCGGTCAATATTACAACGGAGTCTTCCTTTGTAGCTTTCTCGGCTAATCCATCCGACGAATCCCCGTCTTCTGAAGCTATGTGAAGTTTCCGCGAACCTGGGGACACTACTGGCTGGGGGTCTGCGTTCGACTCAATGATTGGAGACGGCGTAAACACGGAGTAGGAAAGAAAGAGCGCAGGGAGGAGCACGGATAGTAGGAGCAACCGCTTCGCGCTTAACCTTCCTCGATCCATGTTGAGATTCGACAATATGAAGATCCAACCGTGTTTAAGTAATGTGTAGATCCTGCGGCTGAAGCTGTTCTTGTTCCCAGCGGCTGCCGTCGTCACGGGCATGCCTCAACGGCGTTCTTTGAGTGAACGAAAGTATTCTCACTAACACCGAAGGGTTGCTGCTGGAACGATTATGAAATTCTCACACCAGCACGGAGGGGTGCTGGTGGTGAAAGCAGTGGTAGTGGCAGCACCAGTGCTTGACTCGAAACGTACGAAAGGAAAGGCGCGCGCGCATACTATCAGCGGCATAGCCTTGTCCGCTGATCCGTTGGGCGCGGCAGCAATACTTTATCAGATCCGCTCTTCTCCTTGCATTCTGTTTCGGGATTGGCTTGCGGCACTCCCAACAATGTGTGTCAGAATTTTCCTCGCCTGCGCTGTACAGTCACAAGGTGCTGTCTTTCTGTATAAGAACTTCCTTGACCAGAATGCCCATGAGTTTGCTTCTATAAAACACTCTCGTTTCAGGACCTTGTTGTTCCTACCGTAGACTCAGTTGGAGATTATTATCCCCACTCGGACACAATGTGGGATATGAGTGAAATCACGTGTGTACGCAAGAATTCATTTTTTTAGTTTCATGACTCTCTTCTAAAAAAAATATGAAATACGGCTGGGTGGCTTGAAATCTGCCCTGAAGAGTGCCAGGTAAGGACTTCTCCTTTTTTTTTTGGGGTTTTTTTTTTTGTTTTTTTTTTTTGTTTCAATGCACTCTTTTCTTAAAGATTTGGTAAACATTTGAAAGGCTGAGGTTCAAAATTCTTACAGTAGGAACCTGAAAATGGGTGGGTCAGAATTTCAACGCATTCAAGAGTAGGCTGGGTAAAACATCCTGCAAACATAAGCCCTGCTGACACACACCCACACATGCAGGATGCATGGGTTTATGTACAAGAACCATTTTCGCATCACACTCTTACGGTATGTGAGGTTGAAGTGTCAGTATGATGCTGGCACACAAATATATTTCTCTCCTACAGTTCCAGAGCAGGACCTAGCATTATACTCATAGAACTTTGGTATAGCTGTTTTCGTAGCTCCGCCGTAAAAGCGGTAAGCAGCTGAACATGCCATTGATGGTTGGACCGCCTTGACTCGCCCCTTCTTGCAGAGGCCCAATCTGAAAGACCAATAATCTGCCCTAAGACAAACCTGGGATAGCAAGATGCCAAAATGCATGCACAACAAATGAAAGGATTAGGGGATCGGGGAAACAAAACATGACGAGGCCTGACAACAAATGCATCCAGAAAGGTTGACGGCAGATAGATAAATAGATGTTATAGACGGTAAAAAGTGCGCATAAAAGCACCACCACCTTTGTCCACCTCTGCTCCTCTTCCGTTTCCTCCCCGTCTCCGTTCCCTCAGTCCCTCTCCCCACAATCACATGACCTCACCTGCACACCGATCTTGCTGCCAACAACAGAGGCAGAGGCAGGGATGCTGTCGGAGCAAGTGAGGCCGGGATTGTTGCGGTAGAGCTCAGCCCAGTGGTCTGCGCTCAGGTTCGGCTCGTTCACAGTCCTCTGAAGCAGCCGGTCGCACGTGTCTTGCGGTGTGAGCATGCCGTGCTTCACACACTCGGGGACGGTGAAGGCAAAAGCGGGGTTGCGCTCAATGCACACAGAACGGCCCGCCTTGATGGGCGTGGAGCAGTCAAGGCCGGGGTTGAGCGCAGGAAGAGAAGGTTCGTTCAACTTGGTCTGTTCACTGATAGTTGAACAGAGGTCGCCCTGGGGTATAGAGTGGATGGTGGGGATCATAGAGGTAGGGTGCATATGCTGGTTACACCTACATGGTGTATTGGGCATTGGGAATGTCGCGTGGCGTTGAGTTCAGGGTGAGATGACGACGAGCTATGAGTTGGTGTGCATGGCTTGATTGGTGCAATCTAAAGCGCATTGTATCGCATAATCTCACAAGGATGGTGCGGAAGAAAGCCTTTGAGGCGCCTGAAAAGCTGGTGCGATCCAAAGGGCATGGCGTCTCACATGGAGAGTGTAGAAGAAGGCAGAGCAGGGTGGGGCGGAAGAGCCAGTCAGTTGGAGAACGGTGCCCTTGGGCAATGGCTCGCTGCAGTCTACTGCCTGCAGTTGTTGCGTTGTGAAGCACATGCATGTGAGTTGGATGAAGGCGTGATGTGTGTGGTGTAAGGACCCATCAACAACATTGAGCTAATCGTTCATAACGCAGTGACAAGGAAAGGGGGGGAAAGGCTCCTGAACACGGAGCCAGAATGGCAATATGTGCTAGCCTACCACGCGCACTCCTGTAGCCAGCCTTACCGCATTTTGGAGTGTGAAATCAGCCAGTGAGAGGCCGACAAGAGGATACACATCTGAGCACCACCAGTTGTCTCCACTGACTGTCATGGCGGTGGCTGTGGTGTTAACTGGAAAGCACATGGAGAGTTGGGAGAGAGGTGTCAGGAAAGGGGAGCAAGCATGGAGATTGACCAGATTTGAGGAGACGCCAACGCAGTCTCATGCATTGGTGCGTGGACATAACGTATGGATTTGAGATAAGGAAAATAGATGGGAGGTTGCAAACAGTACAAACGAAGTGGTGATACACTCAAACTCCACAGTAGGGTTTCACCTGGGTCGCAGGTGGGGGTATCATAGACAGTTGTGCTTTCAACGTAGTTGGGAGGGCAGATGCAGGAGTAGGAGCCTCTGCCATCGTTGATGCATGTGCCCACGTAGCAGGGGTTCTTGAAGTACGACCCACACACGTCCACTGATGCCATGGCGTTGGGGTTATGATAGACGGATGGATAGATAGCACAGGGATGTAAGTTTGAGGAAGGAGAGTAAGGAAACGGCAACATGCATGCACAAATGAGTGCATGAGGCATGCAAGTGGAGTGCATGCGAGCACAAGATGATGCCGAGTGCCAATGCCTCTGGCCCACATCTCTCTGCCTCCAACTCTCGCCCACGCAGATTGCCACCGCCACTGCCTTCTCACTCCTACCGAAGAGATCCTGCCGGTGCTGCAGCCGCAGCAGTGCTGCTGTGCTGCTGTGCTGCTGTGTTGCTGTGCTGCTGCAACCCAACAACCCAGTACCCTATAGTGGCCAGAAGTACCCACACCACAGCTTACCATAAGCACACGTTCTGGCGCCATTCCCATTGTCAGCCTCAACAAACGGCTGCCGGGCAGCTCCTTCTATGGTGCAGCTGCAGGTATAGCTGCTGTTGTCAACCGCATTGCACCTGAACCGACCGCACGGGTTCATGCCGGAGAGATCCTGGTCGCCCCTGTAGCTGTTGCTGCTGCATGGGTCCCCTGGGACTGGAGGAACAACAGGGAGGATACATGTGATGTGATGTGAGCGTGATGCATTAACACGAGAGCTGCAAGGTCGTAGCACAAGGGGAACGGGAATGGCACTGTGCAACTCACGTCACCCTAACGGTCGGGTACTTTGAAGCTAAAGCACCAGAGCGTGTGTATGAATGTGCCTGGCAAACTTGCCATCGGCAGGGAACAGCAGACCCAAAGATGGAATAAATGTCTCACTCTTGACAATGGGGTAGATGCCAGGCAGCACGTTGATGCCACACACGCCATCCCCTCCCTGAATGTCCATGCGCATGTGGCCCTTATCTCCCCACTCCTCGCCCCACGAGTTCCGGATGATCCAAAATGGCGGGGCAATGCGTTTTTGGCTGCCGTCGTTTCTATTAATGAAGTAGCCAACAACGAGTACAACGTGGTTCAGATTGCCGGTGTAGCAGTCAGGATCCTGGTACTTGAAAGTCTGGAGCCAAAAAGGGGGGCAGAGATACATGCAAGTAAAGGCAAAGTTACCTATGCTGGCATTGCGTTGAAGTTTAAGAAGACCAAGTTAAAGCACGAGGGATTGCAATGAAAGATTGCAATGAAAGACTGGTATGAATGGATACATGTCAGGTTGCAGCTGAGTGTTGCACGGACTGCTCACCCCATCGATGCACGGACTGCTCACCCCATCGTAGCCGACAAATGTGGCAGCAGAGGCTTCGATGTGAACCACCACTGGCTGCCGCCGCACTGCCAGCATGAGCCCCACATACCCCTTGAATGATGTGCGCTCAAATCCCTGGATGGGGTACTTTGTTGCCTGCATATCAAATCGTATCAGAGCACACAGAGATTGTTGGGAGATGAATATTGTGAGAAGCGCACTGCCAGCGTGAGTACCGGATGCCCCTTGAACAGCGTGCGTGTTGATCAAACGCATGCATATTAGGGTGCATGATTAACGGTATTTACTCATCATTCTGAAGCTGCCCAGAGGGTTACATAAGGTGTTTCAGGTTTCAACAACAAATCAATCCAAACTTCTTGAAAGAAGAAAAGTGAAGAAATAGCATTCACCTTCCTCAAATGTTTTAGAATTCACCACCATCCACCTCACATTCACATTCACTTTAGCATACACTCTCATTCCTCTACCTCACCTTGCAGCACTTACCGCACGTCCCAAAGCCCAGACCCAGCATGCCTTACCGATTCAGTGACCCCAGTGAGCCCACTCCCGGCATCAAGGGCAACGAGCTTCTCAAAAGCCTCAGTGGGTGAGCCTCCAGAGGAGCACTGGTCTGCACCAGCCAGCCCCATGGCTGCAAAGAGCGCCTCCAGTGATAGCTGTGGCGCGCTCTGATGCCTTGCAATGCCGTACGCTGCTTCTATGCTCGCCACCACTGCGTATGCCCAGCACGCATCTGAGGAGAAGCAGAAGGAAAGGAACAAGATGCACATGGGTGGGGCATGTAATGCGATTTCAGTCAGGATTCTTAGAGAGCAGCAGTCGTGTAGTCTGGGCTTAAGCAAAAGATCCAGATGGGCGGGGCATGTGATACAGCGCGTGGGGAAGAGCTGTGCACTTTCTGTGACGCGCGCACATGCACCAGTGCCCAGAAAAATTGAACCAAAAAGAGTTCCGGATCTCAACCACAAGCACTCCAATGTGCTGTGCAGCCCTCGTTGCACTCACTGCAGGTGGCCTGGTCCTTGACGGACCATCCGAGGAAGTCTACGGAGTCCCACGTGTGGAAGTCTCGGATGCGCCACGAGTCTTGGTTGTTGGAGGCCAGTTCGTAGTCTGTGCTCACATAGCGCAGGAAGGGGTTGGCTCTGGGGGGGGCGTATGTGGTCGATGAGAGTGTGAGGCCACGGGCTGTGAGAGAGGGGGGAAGGGGCACAGGGAAAAAGGAGAGAGAGGCGCATGTGGATGGTGGTTTGTGCTGTGACCCTCATGTTCTTTCCGATCCTGATGCGGAACCTGATGCTGATGCGGAACCTGATGCTGAACCTGATGCTGATGCTGATCCTGATCCTGATGCTGATCCTGATCCTGATGCTATCATGATTGCTTGTTGCGTGACAGAGAGAGCTCACCTTGCTCTTTGATGCGGGCTGACTTGAGTGGAATCACGCCTGCGAGTGAGAGTGAGAGCACACACACGGCGCGACGAAAGAGAACGGCATCAAGAACACGATTGACACATGGTCGGGTCTTGAGTTGAGACAAGGAGAGAGCCACATGAGTAGCAGGCAACGACAAGGCAACGACAAGGCAACGACAAGGCAAGATCTCTCAAATCAGCAACCGCTAGTCATGCTTCCCATTGCCATCATCACTCGTGCAACACCACCACACCACCCAGCACCCATGTATGCTAGATACTCTCACCATTCACATAGTGATCACCATCCTCATCATCATCATCACCATCACCATCCCCATCCCCATCCCCATCCCCATCCCCATCCCCACTACCATCCCAATCCCCCCATCCGCATCACCCCACCCAGCAAGCCCTGACCTGTTTGCACGGCAGAGCGCACAATGCCATGCAGCTGGAACGGCTTCACCGTAGTGGACGCCACAAACCCAAAGAAGAACGCGCTCTGCCGCACACCACCCTGCAGCACCGCACACAGGGAAAACTCCTCCTGCAACAGCGGCTCCTCCGGCTTCGTCATGGAGCCAGCTAGAAACACCCGCATGGTGCCGGGATTCCCGGGATCACCAGGCTCATAGTCCACCCATGCCGTATATGCGTTGCCATCCGTGAGCATGTAAGGGGACACCTCAGCGACCAAGGATCGATCCAGGCCATTGATATTGAGCCCCACGTGCTGCCGGCTGGCATCGCTGTGGTTGCCGTTCTGCAACGTGTCAAACTCCACCGCCAGGCTCCGCGGCCCCACCCCGCCATACCCCACGCCGTCCCCCCTCCCCACCTTGGCCTTTTCTGCGATGACAAACGCAAAGCCGTTGGACCCGGCAGCGCCGGACTGGGGAACGAGGGAGAAGGTGAAGTTGACAGTGAACGCTAGCTCCACACCGCATCCCAGGGATTGGGGCAGACCGGAAGGGTATGCGAAGAGGGTGACTGGCTTTGCCATGAACTTCCCAGCTGTTTCCCGCTTGGTGCCCTTGGTGAGTATGGTGAAGGGCGGGAGGATGGGGCTGCTGACAGGGAGGGTCTTCACCCACTCTGAAGGGATGTGCATGGAAAAGGGGGCAGTGGGGAAATAGGAGGGAAGCAGAGAGATGGTGTTTTGTTCCTGTGAACCTGCTGTTACTCTGCTTCTGATGCCCATGCGACAGAAAAGAGTAAGCAGAGCGTGCAGGATCGATCGTTGGTCGCACATGCTTTCCTTCAGCAAAGGGCGCAGATATGCATGTACCTGCAGAAACGCAGGTGTTTCCTGGAAGCTGCAAAGACCTTGGGTCGCACCGCATGCACGTGGGCACCAAGCTGGGCCCGTCCGGATAGCAAGTCCCATGGCCTTCACACGCAGATGTCGCGTTGGTGATCCCGCAAAACGCTGCACACTCTGCTGCTGGCCTCTGCAGCAGGTCAGAGCTGCATGCATTGCCGAGTGTGAAGCAGTTGGCGATGATGTTGTGCCGTGTGCAGGTGGGCTCTGAGATAGCACCGGACAGGTAGTTGTTTGCTAGGTCCATTCTGAACTGTGTGGTGTTTGTAAGGCGACCTGTGAGGTAGTTGTGTGAGAGATCACTGGAAAGGGGAGGGGAAGAGGAAGGGGAAGTGGGGGTGGTGGTGGGTTGAGGGGTAAGAGAAACAGGCAGCAGGTATGCGAAAGGAATCTAAGAAGCAGATGATTATACGGCTGTGAATGCTATGAGGAGGGGAAAGGAGAAGGAGGAGGAGGAGGAGGAGGAGGAGGAGGAGGAGGAGGAGGAGGAGGAGGAGGAGGAGGAGGAGGAGGAGGAGGAGGAGGAGGAGGAGGCGGAGAGGCTCAAGCACTTTGACTCAGCGAAGAGTTAAAAAGTGGTGTGCTTGCTCCCATCTACCATCTTGCTCCCATATACCGTCTTGCTCCCATATACCGTCTTGCTCCCATCTACCATCTTGCTCCCATCTACCATCTTGCATCCATGTAGTGAAAACAAGCTCCCATGCGTAACTCGCGATGGTGGCGGTGGAGTGAGGCCACTCTATCATTAATTACAGATGCAGCGCAGGAACATTAGAATGTACCATTTGTTGAGAGCCGTTAGCTTTGAGAGTGACGCGGGCAAGCTGCCATACAGCTGGTTGTACGCCAGTGACCTGATGCCACGGGATGCCATGGGACACCATGCGCGTGATTCGTGAAAAGGGAGCAGTGGAGAGCATAACAAACGTGGATAGGGAGGGAAGGAGAGAAGCAGGGATCGTCCAGCAACCACGCAAGGAGATGGCAAGTGCCAGAAGCACAAAGGGGTTTGACGTATGGATGGTATGTAACTAGAAGATGTGGCCATGTGAGCATCATTCGTGATGGAATCTTGGAGAGCGCGGGACAGCAGGAGCACCTGGATTGGTTGGACTAGGCACGCCGGGTGTTTGGCAGGTAGAGGAAAAAGGTGTTCTTGTTGAGAGTGCTACAACACACCCAGAAGATTAGGAGAAAAGGTGTGCGAGAGAAAGAAGAAGCGATTGCGGTAAGGTGAGAAGCAGGGAAGGTTGTGGTTGCAGGCTCACAGATAGAGTAGGGCGGTGAGGCTGTATATTGTGCCAGGGATGGTTCCCGCTAGATGGTTGCTGTGCATCCGTCTGCAGACAATAGGAAGGAAGATGGTGTAAATTGTGGCGCAGTGTGGCATTGCAGGAAAGATGCAAATAAGTGTTGTGCGGCTGCGAGGTACATAGAAAGGGTACGCAAAGGGAAAGCAGCGAAAACCCAGAAGGGAAAGAAAGGCGAAAGCGAAAGAGATAACACAGTCTGCAAGTGGATGCATGCGTGTTGTGTTGTGTGCATCCAATCCAAAAATATTGCTAGAAGCCGTGGGAGTGAAAAATTCCCAAAGCCCATGAATCCCAATGCACGACAGCTGCCATGCGCAACACATGGCCATGAGAAGCATGCAGGCATGCACGGCATGGATGCTTGGCGGCATGGCATGCGGGGATCGGGACAGCTGAACCTTGGTGAAGGAATGCACGTGACATAGGAAAGCTGTCCATGTAGCAACGGGGTGGGTGGGAAGCAGCAACGCACAGAGACCAGAGCTTGGAGAGCTTGCTGACTGTGGAGGGAACAGGCCCTGAGAGCTTGTTCATGCTCACCTCCCTGCATGTGTGCACTCAGCCACCGGGCGGGGAGAAGCAGAGATTCAAAGGAATGCAGTGCACCGCACCGCACCGCACTGCACGCCATGCTCAGTAGCAGGCGGATAAATAGCATCGCGATGGCAGCAGAGAAAGAGATGACACCGTGGTCTGATCGAGGGGAAGACAGAGGCGATTTTGAAATACTTGGGTGGGGTGGGAAGGTCTGGCCAAGGAGTGAGTGGGTGTGGGTGCGTGGCAGCGTCTTACAGCCACAGCAGATTCGTAAGTGTGAATATGCTTTCAGGCAAGCCGCCTTCCAACTCGTTCTTCTCGAGGTTTCTGCCGGGTAGAGGGACAGGGATAGTAGGGCGTGGTTTTGAGTCTCTCCTTAGGCTTCTCCCATCTAGAGGGAGTATTGAGACGGCAGTGCTGAGGCATGAGTGTGTTGTGGTCAGGAGGGATATCTAAGATCAGCTACGCCTCTTCCCATGAGATGATATGCCTATACAGGTGGTGAGTGCCGTGGATAGATATGAGTGAGTGGTATGGCATGGTATGGCGTGGCATGGCATGGCATGGCATGGCATGGCGTGGCATGCATAGTAATACTGACAAGCCACGAAGATTCCTTAAGCTGCTGATGGATGGAGGAATGGTCCCTGTCATGCGATTGCTGCTAAGGTCCCTGGAGCACAAGGCAAAGGGCGTGGGGTGCCGAGGGAGTGAAGACTCAATGGGGAACAACAAGCCTTGAATGTGAAGACGCGCTTTGAGTCGACTCAAGCGTGTTTTGAGTCGATTCAAGTGAAAACGTCTGGCTTGAACTGTAGTATGCATGGGTGTTTACATTTGAAAGTTCTCAAAAGTAACTCAAACACTGGCTGGACCCGGCCATAAACATCTGGGAGGTGAAAGTGCGGAGAGGAGGGGTGGAGATAGGAAAGAGTAGGCTTACAGGTAAATCAGGTTTGTAAGGTTACCGATTGAAGCAGGCATTGAGCCTGTGAGCTGATTGTCGGAAATTGCTCTGTTGGTGTGAGGCACATGAATGGGGCATGAGATGGGTACAGGCAGAGTCACAGAGGGTTCAAGGTGCGATGGGCCGATGGCAGAATGATGAGAAAATACTCTTGGGATGTGGGCAGGCAGACAATAGCACACAGTACAAGGACATTAGCACATTCATATAAGCACTATAGCAGTCCTTGAGTGGCATTTCCCTCAGCAAGGGATGGACGGGGCTATACAAGCAAGATTCGTAAGCCAGTTAGCTAAAGTGAGTTAAAGGGGTCAGGACTCTAGGGGCATTCAAGGGTAATAAAACGGAGTAAAGAGGAGAAGCAGAGCACGAATTGACCTGTCTTTGTCACATGGCGGTTGAGTTGAGTGAGTACACAATGAAGCTACGGGGACTTACAGGTTTGAGAGGCCTGTAAGATTGCCGATGACAGTGGGAATTGAACCTGTGAGCTTATTCCTTTCGATAGATCTGCAGTATGGGCAGAAATTAACACGGGGAGGGCTTGAGTCGGCTACAGAGGGGGGATTGAAAGAGGAGTGGCACAGACAGAGGGGCAGAGACAGAGACAGAGGAAGTGCAGAAGAAAAGCAGAGCAGAGGTGTCACTCCAAGTCGACTCAGAAGAGAATGCTCACAGGTGGTGCAGGTTTCTAAGGTCGCCTATTGCAGCAGGTATTGAACCCGTGAGCTGATTCTCATTCATGTATCTGTAAAGGGTGTGAGGGGCGCAAGGTGAGAGAAAAAAAGGGGGAAAGGGTAAGAAGATGATACTCGAATAAGGTTTTTGGCAAAAAGAGATGTGAGAGGATGAATCGGTGGAGGTCGGATTAGGATGGCCCTTACAGG